AACTCCTTTAATAATTATTAAAAGCTGTCACTCTCCTTATCGCGATCTGTGGGCGCACAAAAAATTAGAGCGCGCGAGTGAGTTCTCAAGACTCAAAATGTCACCATGTTGTAAAGGCACTGTGTGATTCGTTGTGAAAGCGAAGCTACTTTGTTTGGTCTTCCAAAAGAGGACACAACTAGAAATCAGTGGTTAAGTTGTATTTACAACACTGTTCCAGAACACTTCAACCCAAATATTCGGATGTGTGCAGCACATTTTATGGAGGACTGTTTCCTGAACCAGTAGCCTAATGGGTCTGTGCTCAAAGGCTGTTCTATAAAGTGGGGCAGTTCCAACTTTGCAAGGACAGTCTGGCGCTTCTGACTCATACAGCTGTAAGTACGTTTTTTATATTTAAAGAATTTGCCACTGACGATTCAAACGCGAGTTTTGAGCAGTGTAGAGTAGCGCTTGTTGTTTGTCGTTTCTCCGATCACAAATGCAGACATGGATTTACGTTTACGCGGCGCAATACGGAACACAGCGTGTAAAAAGACAGTATTAGTCATTATAATCAGTAATTATGTCCCCACTGGATGCAACAAATGCCTCGTTTATAATGGGTTTTATTGTTTTTGTCTTGTCACGCCGGGACACGGCATCACAATATGGTAAGGGGCGTAACATTTCAGTCACACGCTTGAGGTATTCAGCCAATCACAACGCACTGGATAGCTGGCCAATCAGCGTACACCTCGCTTTTCAGAACAATAAGCTTTGTAAAAATCGCCGCATTTCAGAAAGGCGGGGCATAGAGGAGAAACAATAATGTACAGCATGTGGAAAATAATGTGTTTTTTTAACCTTAAACCGCATAAACGCATTGCATTACACCAAATACACAACATAATGTTCTTTTTAGCAACATCATATGACCCCTTTAATATTTGGTTCCTGATTGTTTTAATGCTAAGGCTAAGTGTGGAAAGCTAATTACAACTAGAGAAGAGCCAGTATATAATATAATTTGCCTCAGACATGCATGATAAAAAAAACACAGAATGTTGATTATTTTATTGTACGGTGTGCACGCTTTTGTTTTGTATTATCACTGAGAGTGCAAGTACTGTATATACTGTGTAGGTGATTTATTCATTATTATAATATCTCACCACTTTTTTCCTGAGACTCTGTTTGTCCTTCTTGACTGCGCTGTAGAACATTGAGGGATTCTCCACTTTAGATCCCACGTCCTGCCCAGGGTTACCATTCTCTCTGGGGGTGGAGTCAGAGAATCAGACTCTGTCTCACACTCAACCATACTGTAAACTAACTGGCTTGCGGCAACACTTTAAAGGGATAGTTGATCCAAAAATCAAACTTCTGTCATTTTTACTCATTCTCATGACATTGCAAACCTGTATGACTGACGTTCTTCAGTGGAACACAAACCAAGACATTTTGCAGAATGTCTTAGCTGCTCTTTTCCATCCAATGAATGGAGACTGGGGTCGACCTTCAAAAAATGATATGCTTCAATTGATTTAAATGATTATCGGGCCCAAGACATGCAAAAACCAATGAATATTATTGTGAATCCTTTTTCATTTTAATTTCTTTGTTAAATTTTTTATTTAAATTTTTTTTTCTGTGAACATTTTTATGTAATATCTTTTTATCTCTTTCAGAGGTTAACAGACCTTGTTCATTTACATTGTATGGAAAATAACTACATGGACATTCAGCAAAATATTTTTGCTTGTGTTCCTTAAAAAGAAAAAACCATACGGTGAGTAAAAAAACAGAATTTAATTTTTTTGTTCAAACTATTCCTTTAAGCCTGGGCATCCATTTTAACACAAGGGGATCATTGCAACCCCTTAAATAAAACTGGCATTGTGACACAGTGTCAAGTTTGGGAGTGTTTCGTTTTGATTTCCAATGGGACGTTTTATTTTTTCTTGCAAAATGAGATAGGAGCAGGGTGTTTGCTGCAGAGCTCAGTGGTTTTGAGGCTGAAAAGCAATGGCATGGGGCAATTGAACCTGCAATAGATTTGTTAGTCTGCAATTTTGTGCACAATGTGGCATGTTTACCATCTTGCAAAGCAATCAAATTGGATCATCTGTGAGTGGGTTATGGTTTGAAAACCAAATGCCAAAAAAAACAAAAAAACAAAACTGAACATGGATGACTAGGCTTGGGTGTTTTGATACCTACAAACCCCAGTCCCAACCCACAAACTCCACCTAAATGTTCTTCTCCCAGTCTTACTTGTGAAGGATACTCACTTTTTATTATTCTGACCAACGTATCTCACAGCTGCAATGATGAAGGCGATTACCGCCACACCTCCAATAGTCCCCACTATGACGGCCATCATGAACTTTTCTGAAAGAGTGCATAGGGTTCATTGATGATACCTCAAAATCATATGAACGGTTGCACAAGTGGTTTCAGTAAAGGTCTACTTACTCTCTTGCTGCAGTTCCAAACGGATGGTCTCAGAGCCATACATGTTGCTGATGCTGCAGTGCACATGGACAGCGGTATCACCATTGTTCCCCCTTTCACCCTTGTCCTGGAGCTTGATGATGCCCGTGGACGTGTACCCATCTGAGTATGTGTGGTAGTTAAATGGGTTGTTGGAGTTGTTGATGGTGATGTTGAGGTCAGGCAGGTAGAATTCAATCACAGGCTCAGGGTTTCCCGAGGCAATACAGACACACTGAACGCCCTCACGGACTATAGTGCATTTAGAGTTGTCAATGAGGACAGGGGCAACTGGGAAAATTGAGCAGAAATAGTCAAAAAGCACATCTATCAGTGTTGTAGCATTACTACAACTCAAGTCCATTTCATGAGACTCAAGTCTGTCTCATTTCCAATCTAATTTTTGAGGAGCATTTGGACTCAACCTGCACTTGGATTCAAATGAGCTGGTCCCGATTAGTCATAGAAAATATGGTATTGGATTTGAGATGGACTTGAGTCCCAGTCTAGTCTTGTCCAGACATGAGTACCACAACACTGGCATCTATCCTTCACTTGTTTTACACTCATCTATGACAAGGGTGTCAAAATTCAGTTCCTGGAGGGCCACCGTCCAACCCTAATTAAACACACCTGAACCAGCTAATCAAGGTCTTCAGGATTACTAGAAACTTTCAGGCAGGTGTTTTGGAGCTGGTTGGAGCTACACTCTGCAGGACAGTGGCCCTCCAGAACCGGAGTTTGACACATGTGATCTATGCTCATCTTGCGATCATAAGACTTCACCCAAGCTGAACACAAAAAAACAAAAAACAACTTTTCTTTTGAGAAAACGTCTCCATAAACTGTCCCTGAGCATAATCATGGACTACTAGCTCAGTGTCTCCACTGGTCAAACTTTTACATTGACTTACATTCTACTGTAATGTTAAGTGAGTTGCTGGCCCGTCCATGTTCATTCTCAGCTAGACAGCGGTAGACTCCGTGGGCCTGAGGTGTGACTTTGTGCAGCTCAAGCACAGACCCCTCCTCTGCTGTGATAGTGCCCACCAGTTCCCCATCCTTCAGCCAGGTCAGCGTGGGCATTGGGTTACCTTTGCTGGTGCATTGTAGAGCAACTGAAGATCCCTCCAACACCGTTAGAGATTCATTGATCCAAGGCTCCCGTGGAGGATCTTCCAGTTTGAGAGAAAAGAAATAAGAATGAAGAAATGAGAATGTTCAGAATGGATAATGGAATACTAGCATACTGCTTATGCTGCCATACATACAACATATTTACACAAAACTGAATCAAAAAATGCAACAAAAAAAAAAAAACTATAGCCATTAGGGTCCAAAAACACCCCCTATTCTCTAAAAAATTGGTTGCAGTAACTTTAAGTGGTTTATATTGCAATGCACAAGAGTTCATGGAGTTTTTCTTACAATTTACTGCCAGGTACATGGATGTGTTCATGCTGCCGTAGCCATTGTCACCAACGCAGGTATAGACACCGTCCTCCTCTGGGGTTAGGTTGTCCAGAGGCAGCGAAGAGTTTGAAGCAACTTCCGACATCAGCTCTGTGTCTCCAAAAAACCAGGTTATTGTGGGGGTTGGATTACTGTCCACATCACAGTGCAGGACCACCGAGCTTCCCTCCATGACCTCTTGAGACACATTCACCCACACAGTTCGAGGGGCGTCTACAGATAAGAGGATAAGTCAGTACATATTGTCTCTGTAAAAATGATGTATTTTTGATCAAATAAAATAGTGATTTGGTGGAACTCACACTTGATGTCTAGTGAAATGAGGCGTTCATAGACGAAGGTGATGTTTTCGTAGTGTACCCGGCAGCCCAGCAGCTGGCCATTGTGCATGGGTTTGGGTGTGAAGGTGAGGGTGCTGGACAGTACCGCAGTGTTGCTGTCCTCAACATTGTCAGGGGTGAAAAGAGGGTTGGGCAGGTAGTCTGTGTACATCCAGTGGATCTGTGGACTCATGTCTGGACAATTGTCTGGGACATAACAGGTCAAATCCAGGCTTTGGTCACTAATAATCTCCTCTGGAACATCGATGTTGGGCTGATCTAGAGGAGAAAGAGACATTTAAAGTCAATATGAAGTTAAAATAGACATTTTTTACTTTCTTAATATGCTTTTTTAGTCTTACGGAGTAAAACAGACATTTTTTACTTTCTTAATATGTGTTTTTAGTCTTACGGAGTCAAACTTGCTTTCAGGTCTGGCTCCATTTTTCTATAGAACACCCATTTTTCATAATCCAAAGTCCCACCCTACATATTAAATATGCTGTTTGATCCAGAAATACATCTTATTATGAAAATAAATTAGTTGTGGTTGAAAATGCCGTTTCATGTTGACTTCAAATGCTAGACCCAAAAATTTTTCCATAACCAGACTGCAAAAAATTATATTCTTAACATGTTTTTTAGACTAATTTTCAGGTAAATAAACATCTAAAGAAAAAAAAATTGTTCACCCAAAAATGAAAACCATAATTTTTTTTAAATGACCAAAACCGTCATCATCTTTTGTCATTCTATACCTTTATTACTTTCTTCTGTGGAACACAAAATAAGATATTCTGAAGAATGTTGTAACTGTTTAGTTCATACAGTGAAAGTCAATGTTGACTACAACGACACTGAGACATTTTTCAAAATATCTTCTTTTTAGTATCACAGATGAAAGTAAGTCATACTGTTTTGGAACAACAAGAGGGTGAGTATATGATGACAGAATTTTCTTTTTTGTATTATTTTTGGATGTTTTAAGGATTTTTAGATGTTTTCACTGGGAGACACATCAAAAAAAATTCTTTTAAATGGCCTTACCCAACACCTGTAGTTTTGTGAAGTCAGGATAAGTGTAGATGTTTGCACCACCCAGGTCTGCCCTGAAGTAATACCTCCCAGAATGTTCCAGGCCAACATTATTTATCAGCAGGGTGCAGTTTTTTTGTGTCAAGTCACCAAGGAGCTTGGTCCGTCCCTTGTAACTTTCGTGGACAATATCTGTGCGTGACTTATACACCACTGGGGGGAAAAGCTGGGGGTAGGGGTGGCCGAAATACCAGATCCCATGGACCCCTCTGTAAGGCCTGATGCCAGAGGGGTATGTGAATGAACAGGGTATAACCACACAGGAGTTTGTCATGGCTGAAATATCTCTGGGCATCCACACATTCCACTGAGCACTTACATCTGTTCAGAGAAAGTGAGAAGAGCGCAGGTAATTTAATTATTAAAACAACACCATTATATCACCATGTCTCTTGGATGTGTACTATAGTGATATCATGTTATTGAACATGTACAATAGTACCTCAGCATTAGCCAAAGGAACCATAGTAACAGCATGTTCGATTCAGAATAAGTTCTCACCTTTCAGGATAAGCAGCAGAGGCAACAGCAGCTCCAAGCCCTTCATGGTCTCAGTTTAACTCTGGACCATAGACCTCTGTTACAAAACCAGCACATGCATCAGCAAGACAAACAGTCTCTACTAACGGCTTGTTCTCTTATTTTTGTAGTTTCACTCTAAAAAATGATTATGAAGAAAACATGTAAAAAGTTTACTTCATTATTTTTCTTTGGTGTTTTTATCACTTATAAGACAGAACAGATAGGGAGAAAAGGGTGACTGTTAAAACTTGTGTTGCCCATATATACTGTATATATACACTCACCGGCCACTTTATTAGGTACACCTGTTCAATTGCTTGGTAACACAAATTGCTACTCAGCCAATCACATGGCAGCAACTCAATGCATTTAGGCATCTAGATGTGGTGAAGACGACTTGCTGAAGGTCAAACCGAGCATCAGAATGGGGAAGAAAGGGGATTTAAGTGACTTTGAACGTGGAATGGTTGTTGGTGCCAGACGGGCTGGTCTGAGGACTCAGATTATAAATATTCATTGTACTGTCTTTAATTTCTGCTTATTTAATAATAATAAAAACTCTTTTTTTTCTATAATATGTTAATTTTACAAGAATAGAATAATAATAATAATAACAATGATAAAAACAAAATATGCCGATATACAGATATACACATATTCCAAAAGAGAGAGAGAGAGAGAGAGAGAAAGAGAGAGAAAGAAAGAAAGAAAGAAAGAAAGGTCCAACAACTGTTTAGGCAAAATATAATTGTTCATTCCTTTTTATTTTATTTTAGGGTGAAATGTGACCTAGATATGTTTCTGTAGAATTCTATGATAACCTAAGCCCCTTGGGTTGTGATAGTCAGAATTAGGCGAATAGATTTTATTTAGTATTATTTTAGATATGGTTCATTAAAAACTAAGAGAGAGAGAGACAGGGAGAGACTTCACTGCTACTTCTCATATATATTATATATTTGATAGTTTTGGACACTTCTAAAATGTCTGTTTGTATTTGTTTTAGGCAACCTTTCAGGCAATACCTTGAACTGCTGGCAGAGTGTGCTGAACCACAACCAACTCCCTCTCCAACGGTGAACTAGCCGCTGCTGTTCTTCCCTCACAAACAGGAGGGCGTTCTCTCACAGCACATCAACTCAGCTTCTCTTCTGTTTTGTCTTAAAACATCAACAAAGAAATGACATCATTATCAAGAAGCAACATTAGCTCTCTTAACCCACACAGACACACTCTCGACTCACGCACGCCGTACAGGGCCGCAGTGTGTGGGAGAGGAGAATTGCTCATTATGAGTGTACGACATCAACCCTTGCGTGTTTGGCGCGCATACAGGCAGCACTGTTCATGATATGACACATCATCCACAGAACATTCATCCACGCTCACGGCGTGCACAGCTGCCTCTGTTGACTTCATTCACGAGCGCTTGTCAGCGGCGTGTGCGCTTAAACATCTCCTCAAGACTTCAGAGCAGACGGGGACTACAGATGGTGGCTGATAAATGGATTGTTCTTGAAATCTCCAAGATTATTATATTAGAAGATTCCCCTGATAGCTCAAGGTTTGACGCAGTTATTGAACGAATGAATTTTACGAAATTACAGGAGGACTGTTAATCTAAATCTTTTATAGGTTGTCGAAAAAATGCCCCCCCCCACACAATTGTAGTTTAAATTTACAGTAGGCTATATATAGATACATACAGGTAGCAGTAGGCAATTTTTTCAGTAGTAGTTTATTTTAATCAAATAATAATTGTCTATGGTGGTACCCCGCCTCCTTTCTTATGTAGGCTATAAAATATTATATTATCTCTGTAGCCTACTGTTTCACGCAATTTACCACATATATTGTTGACTGCAAGTTATGATAAGATTTAATGGGATATGTCACCTTCTAAATAAATTCTGTTATCATTTTCTCACCCTCATTTAAAAAAAAAAGAAAAAAAGAAAGAAAAAAAAAAGTCCATACAATGTTTTGGTCACCATTGACTTTCATTGCATGGACAAAAATGGACAATATAGCCTATTCTTTCAAATGTCTTTTTTTTCCCACAGAAAAAAGAAAGTTATACAGGTTTGGAGCAGCATGAAGGTGAGTAGGCTAAATAATTGTAAGCGTAAATAACTACAATGCAACCAGTTAATTAAAAGTAAATTAATTCATAATAGGCCTGAATAATGTTCAAGACTAGTCACCATAATGGTGACTTAAAACAAAAAACAACTACTTTCTAACATTTATTATCCAAATATTCAGTGCAAGTTTACAGTATTTTTGTGCTTTGACAGAAACAAATACAGTAAAACAACTCAAATAACATATGGAAAATACTGTAATACTGCAACACAACGGTCTTACAATTTTCTTTATGTAAAATATGTTCTTATTTCAGAAATATTTCACAAAAAAATACAGTATTTTCTTATAATGACAACATTTTGCAGTGCATATTGTAACAATTGAAGCCTTCCGGAAATGGCTCATTAAACAAACATCCCTAGCAGCCTTTTTATTCTTGTTAATCATAACCGAATAATTATAATGACACCAGCTGTTCCAGAAAAACAGAACTAATTTATATGCCCATCACACAAGATTTAAGAGGCAGCAAACTGCTGTTGCTTGGAACTGAAACCCCTGGCAGACCGCGTTAGAAAGGATGAAGCAATTCCCAAGCCAAACAAACGGACCATTCATACTCCACAAACAAGCCTTGGACCATCCAGGATACTTGCCTCATACCAGATCCAGATTCCACTCTTGGGCTCTCCTGAAGGGGAAGAACTGGTCTCTTGGCTCCTTCTGGTTCTTCAAAGTCCTCCTGCTCTTCGTCCTTTCTCAGAGGTGCAGGAATGGGGGGAAAAAGACAAAGAGGGAGGGTGACGGAGATAGACAGATAGGGAGAGGAGAGGATAGAGACTTTTAGCTATAAGCTGGGCAAATGTGTGCCGTGGGCAGCCTTGAATATGCAGACATTTCCCTCAGTGCATTCTTCTTCTCTAGCCTACATCGTGCATTCCTCTCCATATCTCTCCTTTCTACCCTGGTCAAACCCTCTCATTCCAGCCTGTCTGGGTAACACTGTTCCTCATGGTTTTTGGGTACATTTCTGATATTGGTCCGATGATACTGTTGTGAATGAGTTTGGACTGGTTTCAGCTCCATGTAGGCTACATCCTTTAAATCGGCTGGAATTCATCTTCGCATGACTCACCTTATGAGCTAAATCTGTCAAATATTATTTTTTTCTCCAATGTGGTTCATTTTAACTCGGCATGAAATCATAATGAACCCTATTTATTTCTTAATGCACATTCCTTGTCTTATTATGAATGATTCATCAGTGTATGTTATTCCAAAGTCTGTAAACTTTCATTAAAATGTAATAGCTTGCTGAATTGACGTCACATACAGTAGGCCAATAGATTTGTTAACGAATAGTCAGTTAGTCTTTTGTTCAGCAAGGACACATTAATCGACCAAAAATGACCAGTAAAAATATAAATAATGTTACAAAAGATTTCCCTTTTCAAATAAATGCTGTTTTTTTTTTTACTTTATATTAATCAAATAATCCTGAAAAAAATATTAGGCAGCACAATTGTTTTCAACATTGATAATAATAAGAAATGTTTTTTTTTTTTATACACCATATCAGCATATTAGAATGATTTCCGAAGTGTGACACCGAAGACTGGAATAATGACTGCTGAAAATTCAGCTTTGCCATCACAGAAATAAATTACATTTTAAATTATATTCAAATAGAAAACAGTTATTTTAAATTGTAATAATATTTCAAATTTTTACTGTATTTTTGATCAAATAAATGCAGGCTTGGTGAGCATAACAGACTTTTTTCAAAAAAATAAATCAGTGGATGTCTTTGATATTTTTATTTCAGTTGTTTAGCAATATTTTGCATATCGGTATTATTTAGTTTAAATCACAATAATATATATATTGGACAGTTGCCACAGTGACTCCCATGGTTTATGGAAGGGGCCGTGAGGAACGAATGCACAACAGGAAGCCTGTGTGGCATCAAGACGTACAACATGCCACAGCACCCCACACACACACACGCCACAACACACACACTGTAAAGCACCACCTCCCGCACCACCTCCCCATTTAAACACACACACACATGAATAGTGTAGCACATGCCAGCACACTCAAATCGCGATGTGCGTCTTACATCGGTAAAGCTGCTAAATGATCTTTCTATGCTACTGCATCCCTCACTCAATGAAAAGTTTGTGTTCGAGTGTCTGCGTGTGAGTGAGTGAGAAATCTGTTTAATATTAAAGAGCAGTTTGTTTATCCAAAACCATGTGGTACTGGAACTAAGATGTGCTGTCTTGTACTTCCAATGGGCTGCTTGAAATACAAGTGGGTGTCAGAAACAGCTATTGACCAATGCAGCTAAAGACAACTATAAAGACAAAACCTGTATTTTTCCCTATTTAGTATGACTATATAACAACAACATTACTACTACTACTATTTATTTATTTAAAAATGATTTAATGATTTAATTATAAAAATGAAACAAATCATTAAAGAAATAGATTACTATTGTAATGTAAAATTAAAAATTATTTAATAAATAATAATAATAAAAATGATTATTAATGATTATAATAATGAAATTTCATAAAATTATAAAAATTAAAACAGTAAAGCAATATATTACCATTGTAATGTATTTCATAATAATACTTAATAATAATAAAATATTGTTATTTTGTAATCAAACCAATAAATACAAATATATTACTTTAATAAATATTAATATAAATAATAAATGTATTACTTATACTATAAATATATTACTACTGTAAAATATAAAAAGGTAAATAATAATAATAATTTCTTATTTTCTTATTTTCACAGGTCAAAAAATACAGAAATCTGCATATAAACAGAAAAATGTAAGTGAAGTAAGTATAACTTAAGTATTTTTCATACTGAAAATATGAATAATATGAATAATAAAACGAAAACTGAGACATAATGGTGTGGATGTAGCACTGCACAAAAGCAAATCTTTTAAATCTTTTCATTACAGGAGGACTGTTAATCTAAATCTTTTATAGGTTGTCGAAAAAATGCCCCCCCCCACACAATTGTAGTTTAAATTTACAGTAGGCTATATATAGATACATACAGGTAGCAGTAGGCTATTTTTTCAGTAGTAGTTTATTTTAATCAAATAATAATTGTCTATGGTGGTACCCCGCCTCCTTTCTTATGTAGGCTATAAAATATTATATTATCTCTGTAGCCTACTGTTTCACGCAATTTACCACATATATTGTTGACTGCAAGTTATGATAAGATTTAATGGGATATGTCACCTTCTAAATAAATTCTGTTATCATTTTCTCACCCTCATTTAAAAAAAAAAGAAAAAAAGAAAGAAAAAAAAAAGTCCATACAATGTTTTGGTCACCATTGACTTTCATTGCACGGACAAAAATGGACAATATAGCCTATTCTTTCAAATGTCTTTTTTTTCCCACAGAAAAAAGAAAGTTATACAGGTTTGGAACAGCATGAAGGTGAGTAGGCTAAATAATTGTAAGCGTAAATAACTACAATGCAACCAGTTAATTAAAAGTAAATTAATTCATAATAGGCCTGAATAATGTTCAAGACTAGTCACCATAATGGTGACTTAAAACAAAAAACAACTACTTTCTAACACTTATTATCCAAATATTCAATGCAAGTTTACAGTATTTTTGTGCTTTGACAGAAACAAATACAGTAAAACAACTCAAATAACATATGGAAAATACTGTAATACTGCAACACAACGGTCTTACAATTTTCTTTATGTAAAATATGTTCTTATTTCAGAAATATTTCACAAAAAAATACAGTATTTTCTTATAATGACAACATTTTGCAGTGCATATTGTAACAATTGAAGCCTTCCGGAAATGGCTCATTAAACAAACATCCCTAGCAGCCTTTTTATTCTTGTTAATCATAACCGAATAATTATAATGACACCAGCTGTTCCAGAAAAACAGAACTAATTTATATGCCCATCACACAAGATTTAAGAGGCAGCAAACTGCTGTTGCTTGGAACTGAAACCCCTGGCAGACCGCGTTAGAAAGGATGAAGCAATTCCCA